AACCTGTTTTCCCAGATAACCCCCCCACCCTCATTTTTTAGGATAACTTATCTTTTCAAAAGGACTTTAGCCGTAATTTCATGATTCTCTATTTACATAGTGTCATGTCCAATCACAGCAGTACCATTAAAAAACCATTACAAATAAAAATGCGTAATCAGTATATTTTTCAAAAGTATGCATAAGCAGTATTTTTCTCAAAAGTATGCGTAAACAGTATTTTTCTCAAAAGTATGCGTAAACAGTATTTTTCTCAAAAGTATGCGTAAGCAGTATTTTTCTCAAAAGTATGCTTAATCAGTATTTTTCTCAAAAGTATGCGTAAGTAGTATATTTCTCAAAAGTATGCGCGCATAATCAGATAAGTGTCCGGCGTTGCCCGTGGAATTTAAAAAAACACATAGGAAAAAAATTTATTATATATATTACGCATTTCTGTAAGATATATCCTGATTATGCCTCTTTTTGGTTACCCAAAAAGAATGAGACTGTAAAGACGATCTAAAACTCGTAAAGTATGACGATTTCAAGGCTAGTTAAATAAATACATATATATATACAGTGATGACCAGAAAACTCTGGAATAGGAGGACTACATTTATGTAATAAATAAGTGAATTTTATGTGATAAGAGAGCTAATAGTTTTAGCAGTAGCTTGAAAATCAATTTATTAAGGGAAATGTTTGCACTGCACAAAATTGCTGTGTCGTATGTTCATTGGACAATGTAAAGTCATAAATCGAGTATTTAATCATCTTTCTATTCCAGAGCTTTCTGGTTATCACTGTATATATATTTAAAAAAGACTTAACTATGGTTTCAGGCAAACCGTTTAATATTAAATGTCTCCAACTCAAAGTTTAAGATATTTAGGAATAAAAATATGCATTTGATCCTTAATTTGCATTTGCAGGAATCATGAATGTAAGAAAACAGACAGTATAAACTCTGTACAGTCGTCTCTGATGTCTCATCCTTTGTGGGTAACCCTGTATCCTGATTACGCATATCCGTAAAACATATCCACATATCCTGATTACGCATATATTTGATTATGCGTAATCTTTTAGTTCTTTTCTCCTTTTATATCAGTTTATTTGGCCAGATCTGTATCTATACACTCTCAGCACTTTACAGGGTTATCCACAAAGATTAAGACTTTAATTACAACCTGAAAATGTTTTAATTGAACTCTGAATTTTGTCCTCCGTCAATACAATTTAACATAAAAGTAAAAAATTTTAAGGAATACATAATGAAGGAAAAAAGACTAAACAAATTCCGTACAGTAGTCTATGAAGTGTGTGGGTGATGCAACTGCCAACATTTAACTCATTCTATAAATCAACCTCATTCTAAACTAAATTTGGAAAGTACACAAAAGTCGGTACAAAGTGTGTTAAAAATTCATTACAAAGTACACACTACATGCATATTAGTACACACGAGGTTTTTTTCAGGTCGTCATACAGTTTCATTCTTTGTTGTTAACTCTGTAGGACAGTGCACACATTTTCTTAAATCCTTAATTTTTGGTTTGCTGTAGTACAGTTCAACACTTATTTAGTTCATAATGCATGCCGAGAAACAGTGCCTTGCGATTAAAGGACAGTAAGTTCAAGGTCGTCATGAGGGTCTCATTCATTGTAAATTATATATAAATAAAATGTTTGTTTCTATTTTTTAATGTAGGCTAACCATTTATCCATCGCAAAACCCAAAAAATGTAATCGAAACAAAAGCTCTTTGTTTTATCCGTATTAAAAAATACCACAAGTTTGCAATTTGCAAATGTTTATCTGCAACTGCGTGTAGTGCATTAAAATGTGTCAAATACCTAGATAAAGCAGTTTTATAGTTATACATATATTCATATCTAATTGTACATACGAAATTGTACATTGCGCCTTCCTGATTTTAAGAATGAGATCATGTACTCAATTGTTGGGGCATGGAAGAACAAACGATTGTGGCATGGCTGCCGGAAGACTTGAAAGCTAAAATGTCGCATTGAACGGCAAATTGTTGTAGCTTATGGCCGCCTGCCTTCCCCCGCTATGCTCTTGTATAGCTTCCATCCCGCAATAGACTTGCGGCAATGCGCTCACCCGTGGCACTTCCTTAGCCGCACCCATGATATCTTCCGGCAAAATGTCTTGCGATTTTCTCCTAAAATACAATATTTTGTTGGCTAATGCTATTCTTCTATAAACATGTTTTTTAAGGAAAATAGAAATTTAATTTTTACCAAAAATAACATAGTTTTGCGTGCAATTCGTTTTAAAATCATCTAAATCTATCTATCTATCTGATTTTAGATAATTTAAAAACCGAAACAAACGCAAAACTGCGTTATTTTTGGCAACAATTGAATTTCTCCTTACCTTCAAAAACATTTTTAGAGAAGATCAACTTCAGTTGAAATGTACAAAATATAACATTTTAGGAGAAAATCGCAATAAATCACAATTTCATCAAAAAATTAACAACTATCTTAAATATTAAAAGCTGCATTCCCCTTTAATAAACATTCAAAAGTAAATACATTTTGCCGGAAAATATATGGGTGTGGCTAAGGAAGCGCTACGGGTGAGCGTGTGGCCGAAAGTCTATGTTTGTGAGTAAATTGCGGGATGGAAGCTATGCAGGTGCGGCTTGCCTCCCCCCTCCTCCTGGAATACTCAATACTCCCCCCCTCCTCCTGGAATACTCAATACTCCCCCTCCTCCTGAAATACTCAATTTCATGATTTTTATTTTTAGAATTGCATGCGTTGACGAAATCAAGTTAAAAAGTCAATAATCAACTTTATAAGAATGTAAATTACGCATTTGGAGGATTTTAGTGACGCATTAAAGTGCGTATTACGCCCAACATTGCGTACTCACTAGTACGCATTTAGAACAGAAACATACGCATCATCGATAAAAGAAACTTTATGTTAGTAGGTCAAACCGTATATTATATATATATATATTTATATATCTATCTATATTTATCTATTATAGAGATAACTCACAAAGGTCAAACTGAAGGAAGGATGTGCTTCCGTTTAAATATTTACATTTGGTGGGTTTTTAGGAAACGAGGCCAAAAAGGGGATTTCCATGTGTTTGTTGATGTTTTTACTCAGGCCAGTAAAGTAATTTTTCAAGGGGATACTATAGTTTAAATAGGTAAACTGAGCTGAAAACTTTAGAATGAGATATCCTTAATCCCAATTAGTTAATCTGAGTATCCAATTGACACACTTTAGATTTTCTTCTTAAACCGTTCTTTATTGGATTAAGTAGAGAAAAATCAAAAACCGGTTTTTTAAATTTAGATAGTTCCTCCCGTTTCTGTATATAATCTTAAATGGCGCGCAAAATTTAAAATTTATCGGCGACTCTGATTGGTTGAATTTTATACACTTTTCAGGATACAAGTACAAGATTAGGTTAGTCTTGAGATTAAGAAAAAGAGAAGATCAAGCATTTATCTCAATATTCACAATTCTAAAGTTTTCAGCTCTGAGCTGATAAAAAAGAAAAATAAAAGCTCACGTCAAACTAAAGTAAACTGCACGTAAGATCGAAATCTTAAATGTTTTCGATTATAGCTTCTCGGTCTTAAAAAAATATTGAGACAAACAAAAATGTTTTGTAATTTGAATAATTTAATTATAGTTAACCGAATAGATTTGATTAGATACAAAGTTTTTCATTCTACACCTCAGCAGTTTAGCTTTGTGGATTATTATTGTAAGCTGTAACAAAAGGATTTTCGCATTTTTCCAACTTTATTATTGCTGATTTCCAAGTTTTCGAAATTCAGATTTTTTGTTTCATATTTTTAGTTCCATGGGTCATATGAACTTTCACAAAAGCATTGAGCAGAATCGTTTATTAGATACGCATCAAAATATAAAATTATGATGAATTATGCTTTCAGATTAGAATAGAGACACAAGTAAAACATGATTTGGATCACTTACAGCTGATTCAAATACAAAAAGGTAATTTTATCATTATCATTATTATTAAGAGAANTTTAACTATACATATAAATAGAATATAATACACAGTTTAACTATACATATAAATAGAATATAATACACAGTTTAACTATACATATAAATAGAATATAATACACAGTTTAACTATACATATAAAGTAGCATTCTCTGTTTGTTTAGGTATGTCTGATCATAACTTTTAAACCCCTTGACCGATTTTCTAAGCAATTGAATTGGTTTGAAACTCCAAATTTAGTAGGTTGACTCTAACAGAGAAAGTTAGTTTTCAGGCAATGCTGGGTTTCCGAGCTAGTCTTAAAAATTATGCATAGAGGCAGAATGTTTATGTAAGTTACATATTAATATCTTCACATAATGGAATGTGTGTTATACATCTTTTAATTTGCAACTACAGTGAGAACTAGAAAACTGTGGAGTAAGAAGATGATATTAAAAAAACAACAGTATATTTGATCGATGTTGTAACAAAGCAAATAGTTTTACTCTAATAACTTATTGAATCACATTCAGTGAAATTGTGCTGTTTAGTTTTTATACTGAGAAATTGCTGTGTCTCTCTCACAAACTACACAGACTGCTCATACACTCTACCTGGATAGGCTGAGCAGGCCTATGGTGTCTCGGCACGCCATGCTACGGTTCCATGCAATGTTTTTTGACTGACATCTAACGGCCACTAGTTACAAAGTTTTACAACTTTTAAAGAAAAACTCCAATTTTAAACATCACACATAACGTTTATGAATATTGTCTATTTTTAAAGATTTTGCATTTCCTCTTCAAAGGATCCCTGAATACAGATGTCTCCTGATTGGTCGTGTACAGTACATGTACACAATAGAACATGCCGTGGAAAATATCGCATATTATAGGTGTTAATCGATCTCTGTTACTCTCTTATCTCTGGTCTCTCTATTTAAAGTTAAAAGGGGTATAGGGCCCTAGTTTTATGTTATATTTTTGTAATGATATCAGATTTTAATATTTGGTTTGGCTGAAGGAACTGGTAAAATGTGTACTTGTCGGAGACAACGCTGTTGGAAAAACAAGATTAATATGTGCACGAGCTTGCAATCAGAAGGTAAATTCATTTAAAGGGACTGTACGCGTAATTTTAAGTGACCCTCCATGCTAAGATGGCAATGCCCAATTCACAACGGCACCCTTGAAATATTTGTCTGTTAATGTGGAAGATATTGTCGTTTTTCTATTTTTAAGAGTGTTTCGCGCGTTTCCTGCGGTTGAACCACAATTGAAAACAATTAGTTTCCGAATTTATCAACATTTATATATAATTTATCCTTGTTCAGACAAAGCTTTTAATGGTATTGTTGTGAATCTAGAATTGCCATCTATGCAAAGAGGACCACTTGAAATTACGAGTACACTCTCTTTAACGGGAGTGTGGATAGATATCATATTTACATTCTTAATTGTACCTCTTAAACGTTTATCTAATCAACTTAAAATATATCGTCGTTTTTCCATCTTTAAAAGTGTTGAAATTCATAAAAAACGTTCTTTTTCTTTGCCTTTTCAAGGCCGCAAGTCACTTAGAGAATCCTAAATTCTAAATAACGAGGTTTGGAGGCTAACGTAGTGAATGGGGAATGTCCTCTTTAAATAAAGGGTCACTTGAAATTAGGATGACAATCCCTTTAAATATTCTTGTATTGAAAAGTTATAGAAACTTCAATGCCGCGTTTGATTGATATTGAAAAAACGAATTGCTGTGAAGTTGTTTTTTTTTTGGGGGTGGGGGGGTTTAACTAAAACAGATGGGTCTGGTTCCTTGATAATTACGGAAATTTTAAAATTAAAAAACAGTATATTAGTTTTTTTTACAGATTTTTTTTACAATAATAATCCTATAGTAAAAAACAAACAAATATATTTTAAAAGTATTTGGCTTGTCTGTCTGTTTGGGTGTTGGTTTGTCAAAACGGCTGAACCGGTCAGGCCCAAATTTTTTGTGGGACCTCACGTGACCCCAGGGAAGGTTATGAATGATTAAAATTTTAAAAATGTGCGCTAAAAAGTTTTTATTTTTGAAAAATTTTGAAAATGCACAAAAAAATATTAAGAAATCCGCAAACTTTTTTTGTTTTATACTGTACAAAGAGAAGATGTTCAGAGATAAAGCCACAATTAAAAGTTGAAATATAAGATGGGCGCGAAGCGCCCTAAAAGCCTAGTATTTGAAAAGTACATAGACAAAAAAAGTCTATGAAAGTTTTTTATCAAAACTTTTAGTTAGTTCAGTCATATTTTTGATATTTCTAGGTTTCTCTGTCACAGCTTCTAAATACTCATGTACCAACAGTCTGGGCCATAGACCAGTACAGAATATACAAGGAGGTATGTATTTTAGTTCTAGAGTACATATCCAGTACAGAATATAGAAGGAGGTATGTACTGTAGTTCTAGCGTACAAAGATCAGTACAGAATATACAAGGAGGTATGAATTGTAGTTCTAGTGTACATAGATCAGTACATAATATACAAGGTGGTATGTACTGTAGTTCTAGTGTACATAGATCAGTACATAATATACAAGGAGGTATGTATTGTAGTTCTAGTGTACATAGATCAGTACATAATATACAAGGTGGTATGTACTGTAGTTCTAGTGTACATAGATCAGTACATAATATACAAGGTGGTATGTACTGTAGTTCTAGTGTACATAGATCAGTACATAATATACAAGGTGGTATGTACTGTAGTTCTAGTGTACATAGATCAGTACATAATATACAAGGTGGTATGTACTGTAGTTCTAGTGTACATAGATCAGTACATAATATACAAGGTGGTATGTACTGTAGTTCTAGTGTACATAGATCAGTACATAATATACAAGGTGGTATGTACTGTAGTTCTAGTGTACATAGATCAGTACATAATATACAAGGTGGTATGTACTGTAGTTCTAGTGTACATAGATCAGTACATAATATACAAGGTGGTATNAATGTACTCTACTGCATATAATTTGTGAACATTTACATGATTTGTACACTTTGAACTCCCTTTCAGGCTGAAAGGGACTGAAAAAAATTATACCGAGAGATTCTTTTAATTCCTCTCTAATATATATTCTATTCTCTATGATGGTAATTCTTTTATTCTGCATAAGGTCAGAACTTTTGTGTTAAGAATTAAGCTTCGATTTTCATCTTTTGCAGACAGCTAGGGATTAATTTATTTCCTCTTCAATATCCTCTAGTTTAAAAGTGTGCACATTGGATATCAAGATCAAGTGTTCGAGATAAACGATACTTCACATAAAAGTTGCAACCCTGGTTACTTTTTGTCCCTGCTTAAATTAAATACAATAATGTTTATTTGTTGTAAGGAAAGGTCTAAAGATATTAACTATAAATTTTCCAGATAATATCGTGAGTTCTTTTCTCCTTTGAAGATTGTTTTGTATTTTTATTTATCTTTTCATTTGGAACTTTCCATACATTACTTTTCAAAATACTTTTATTCTCTAAATGTTAATTTCTCTATCCTAACAATTAATTTTTGGAAAAAAATGTTGTTTACAATTTACAAAAATTTCGAAAATTAGACTCAAGAAAAATGTTAATTTTTAATGTACTGCTAGGTCCATGTTAATTGTTAATGTACTGCTAGGTCCTGGAGAACAGCTGGGTGACAGTGGACGGGGTAGAGGTGTCCCTTCGACTCTGGGACACATTCGGGGACCATCACAAGGACAGAAGATTCGCGTATGGACGGTAAGATTTACTAAGGATACCAAGATTCATGTGTGGACAGTAAGACGCCAAGATTCATGTGTGGACAGTAAAACGCCAAGATTCTTGCGTGGACAGTAAAACGCCAAGATTCTTGAGTGGACGTTAAACGCCAAGATTCTTTTGTGGACAGTAAAACGCCAAGATTCTTTTGTGGACAGTAAAACGCAAAGATTCATGTTTGGACAGTAAAACGCAAAGATTCATGTTTGAATGAACAGTAAAACGCCAAGATTCTTGCGTGGACAGTAAAACGCCAAGATTCTTGTGTGGACAGCAAGAGGCGGCTTATGGGGGGGACGTCTCCCCCCTGAAAAATAGGGGGATCGGGTAATTGGGGTAATCGGGCATTACCATCTTTTCATTGAAATCACAATTACAGTCCCTTTCATATATCAGGGAAACTTTTGACGGGTTCTTTAACAATGCTTACTCGACTTATCATGGATATTAGGAGAGAGCTCGTGTTTCAAACTTAAATTTAATGTAACAATATGATGACACATCTCCTGATTACATATATGCAAATATGATTAAACTTTGCTTATCTGTCTGTTTGCTTGTTTGTTTGTCACCGATAAACGTCAAAACAGCTGAACCTGAGGTTTTAAGTTTTTTTTTTGTGGGACCTCACATGACCCCAAGGAAGGTTTATGAATGGTTAGAATTGAACAAATTTGCCTCCAAAAGTTTTCAATTTTTAAAATCCGCGAAAAAAGATCATTAAAAGGGCAATAAATATAAGTTGCGCCAGGTCTTGACGCCAAGTGGGCATATTAAGACTTTTTTCAACCGTTTGTTAACGACCAGCTAAAATCGTTGAAAATACCAAGGGGATATAAAAAGAGGGTTAGGAGGTGTGGATGGGAGTGGGACTAGGGGGGGCGGGGGTAAAAAAGGCTGTTTACAGACTTCTTTGAAACCTAACGCCTTTAGAGGTTTAGAGTAACAATTAGTGATTAAAAACTATAAAAGCTAGATCAAAGTAGGGGAGGGGGGGGGGACAAAATAATGGGATTGGAATGAAAAAATAAAAATGAAAGAATATAAGAAATAACATAATATAATGTTGACTAGATTACATGTTTAAAAGACAATGACTTCATGATTGAAATAAATGAAGGAATATAAAGATCACTGCAAGCTATACAGAAGAAGAAAGTCAAATTTATACGATTTCCCTGCGGTACCACTTTGTGACCTTGTAGCTTCCCTAGTTTTGATTTAACGCAACATTAATGAGAAAAAAATAAATTATCCGGTTAAATTAACTCACTTTTGTTCTTCTTAGAAGCTCTTCAATATAAGGAAGAGATAAGATTAATTTAATTTCATATAAGTTTTCAATCTAATTTAAATTTCATATAAGATTTCATTCTAATTTTAATTTTATATAAGATTTCAGTCTAATTTTAATTTCATATAAGTTTTCAATCTAATTTTAATTTTATATAAGATTTCAGTCTAATTTTAATTTCATATAAGATTTCAATCTAATTTGAATTATAAGATTTCAATCTAATTTAGATTTCATATAAGATTTCAATCTAATTTTAATTTTATATAAGATTTCAATCTAATTTTAATTGCATATAAGATTTCAATCTAATTCTAATTTCACAAGATTTCAATCTAATTTTAATTTTATATAAGATTTCAATCTAATTTTAATTTCATATAAGATTTCAGTCTAATTTTAATTTCACAAGATTTCAATCTAATTTCAATTTCAATTACTTTAGTTTCACGTGAGACCTGAATTAATGAATAATTGAATGATCAACAAAATTATAGAATAATAAATGAAATGATGAAAGGATGAATGAAAGAAATGACGACGGAATACTATACAGGGTGTCCCAAAAAACATGGGAATTCAGTGACGAATTCGATATTGTCTTTGTTATGAATAAGCATTGTAATACCCAATTTCAAAAGCCATAATATTATTATGTCTGCTAGAGTTAACTTTATGAAAAGGGTAAAAGACTGTAAAGATGTGTCTATAATGTCTCCGCAAGTCGATGAACTGTAAAGACGGACAAGTTTACTCTGTTTGTATACTGCAAAGTACACCCTTATGCAGTAAAAACATAAACAAACAAAATGTGAACTTAGAAGACGAAACTCTTACAGATTACAGCTTTCTCAGTAGGTATCACTATACTAAATCAAAGAATTATCTAAAAAGACGATATCGAATTCGTCACTTAATTCCCATGTTTATTGGGACACCCTATATATAAAGTAAATGAGATTAAAGTACTAGAGTAAAAATGCATGGTTGACAAGTGGTTTATATATTATATCAAAGAATAAAAGAAATGACTACGGAATACTATATAGAAAGTAAAGAGATTAAAGTACTTGAGTGAAATTGCATGGTTGACTAGTGGTTTAAATTATATCAAAGAATAAAAGAAATGACTACGGAATACTTTATAGAAAGAAAAGAGATTAAAGACTAGAGTGAAAATGTATGGTTGACAAGTGGTTTATATAATATCAAAGAATGAAAGAAATGACTACGGAATACTATATATAAAGTAAATGAGATTAAAGTACTAGAGTAAAAATGCATGGTTGACAAGTGGTTTATATTATATCAAAGAATGAAAGAAATGACTACGGAATACTATATATAAAGTAAATGAGATCAAAGTACTAGAGTAAAAATGCATAATTGACAAGTGGTTTATATTATATTAAAGAATGAAAGAAATGACTACGGAATACTATATAGAAAGTAAAGAGATTAAAGTACTGGAGTGAAAATGCATGGTTGATAAGTGGTTTATATAGTATATCAAAGAATGAAAGTTGATGCACTGATGACCAAATAATAGGATGCAACAATCAATCAATCAATCAATCAATCAATCAATTAAATTCATTAGATCTGATGTTGTTCTGATGTGCTTTGACGTGGGTAGAATATCCTCCCTCGAAAACTGCAGGTATATTTATACACTGTGGAACTCATTAAACTGTTTAAGAGGAAGACGACATTTAAACAAACTTATGTGTATCTGATATTAAACAAAGGTTTGCAACTTATAAAAACACTTTATATATTTAAAATATTATGTGAAATGTGTCTGTTTACACTGCACAATTGCTGTGTTTCATGTAAACGTGCTTATTTAAAACTATAATCCTATATAGTTCCACAGTTTTATGGATCTCACTATACACAAAATAAAACCTGAAATATCAAACAAAAAAGATGAGCAGATCTGAATAGGATTCGATAAACATTTATTTAAAGGGATTGGTGATTGTTATTTAATAATTATCATTGTGGGTTCACACTGTTCAGGGTAACATTGTGAACCAGGCAAACCATTTCAAGTTCAGTCTTACTTGAAATTACGTCTTCAGTTCCTTTAACTTTTTTATTTTATTTAGAACAATGTGGTATCCACAGATCCGGAGGTTTTGTCCCAATACACCAATACTTTTAGTCGGATGCAAGAACGATACTAGGTTATATATTCATTCATTCATTCATTCATTCATCCTTTCACCCATCCTTCTATTAGTCTTTTCTCTCTTCATTTCTTCATTTCTTTCATTTTTTTTTCTTTTTTCATTTATTTATTTGTATTTTATTTCTTTATTCATTCATTCATTCATTTCCTCATCTTTTTTTCTTATCTTTCTTAACTAAATAACCCATTAATCATCATCCTTTCTTTCTTTTACTTATACACCCATTCATTATTTCTCACATAGTTTAATTAGTTTTTCCTCCTTTAGTTCTTTACAAATTTACTCCTTCTGGTTTTATTGATATTTCTTTCTTTGATTATTAATTTATTCAACTTTTATTTCAGTTACTCATTCAATAATTCGTAATTCCTGTTTTTCTTCATGTATTCACTTATTCATTATTTCTTTATTTTTTAATTCATTGACTCATTCATTCGTTTTTAAATTCACGCATTTCTGTCTTGTTTCTCTATTTGAATAATTAATTTTTCTTTCCTTCTCTTTAATTTCCAACCTTTCATGGAATTCATTTCCCTTTTCATATTTTGATTGAAAATATTCTTCTTCATTATTCTTAAATAAAGAATTCATGAAAACCAACTTATTTAAACATGTTTGTTTACAGGTTTATTTACAAGGACGACCAGTACCTGGCGTACTGCAAAGAAAGATCCCCGTTAGTTAGGTAATTAGAAATATCTTTAACCAGAGGCGTGCTGGGGGGGGGGGGTTATGAGACTCAGCCCCCCCTAGAAGTAAAGACAAATTTAAGCCTCCTCCCCGCGGACAAATTTCTGTGTATACGCCCCTGATCCTAACATTTTTTTTCTAACAGTGTTAATAACTTTTTAAAAATGAATTCAAAAATTCATTATGCTACCTTTTAAATTATCTTTAAACTTTTTAAAGATTATTAAAATACTAATTTGAAACATCTAAAAATTATATTTTTTAGGCAAGTTCGAGAGAAAGATTTAGTAATGCCAGATCAAGGTAATCCTGGTTCATTATTAGCATTTACCATTTTACAATTAGATTTTAATGTGATCAAGTTAAGTTAAAAAGTCATGTTTAAAACTAGACTCAACTTTTAGAATTCATCCAACATGTATCGCGAGACTTGAGCCTTATTTTAGTCTGGTCAAAATCAGACTTTCTCAACCCCGCACCTTCTTGGACTGATGATGATAATATTTTTATCGAAATATATCTCCTCAACTGACAGTCTGTATTTTTTCAAATGTTAATTAAGTTTGCTTTACACCTGGTTTTACTTATTTTAGCCTCAATGGCAGTTTTGTCTTAAGCTAACTTTAATCCTTAAATCCTTTAATCGCGGCCTCCGGAGGATGTTTCTTAAATTACCTAATCGCGGCCTCTGAGGATATTTTTTAATCGCGGCCTCCAGAGGATGTTTTTTAAGCTACTTGATCGCGGTTTCCGGAGGATGTTTTTTTAAACAACCTAATCGTGGCCTCCGAGGATATTTTTTAATCGCGGCCTCCAGAGGATGTCTTTTATCAAGGCATCCGGAGGATGTTTTTTAAGCTACTTAATCGCGGTTTTCGGAGGATGTTTTTTAAACTACCTAATCGCGGCCTCCGAGGATATTTTTTAATCGCGGCCTCCAGAGGATGTCTTTTATCAAGGCATCCGGAGGATGTTTTTTAAGCTACTTAATTGCGGCATCCGGAGGATGTTTTTAAACTAACTAATCGCTGCCTCCGAGGATATTTTTAATCGCAGCCTCCAGAGGATGTCTTTAATTGCGGCCTTCGGAGGATATTTCTTAAGATACTTTTAAAACGACTTATTTTTTTAACAAATTAAATACACATCAGGTTTTTTTGTTTTGATGATACAATGGGTATCATGTATCATGTATGTCAACCGTCTAGTTTCTAAACGTAACAGATTATATCGGATATTTATCCTCTTACTTAATTTGCATTGTAAGGTCTCAGTTGTCAGTTGTCAGTTGTCAGTTGTCAGTTGTCAGTTGTCAGTTGTCAGTAAGAAATATAAAACCACAGACTACACAAACTGGTTATCTCCTTTCATAGGGTGGGCTACGTAGGCCTAAGTTGACCCGGCACGACATGCTACGTTTTTACGATAGGTTTTTAGAGTGCCATTTCACGGCCACTTGTTGAATATAATACCCATTCAGGGGTTAAGTTTTACAACTTTAAAAGAATTACTCCAATTTTAAACATGACACATAACATCTTGGAATTCAGTCTTTTTTTTTGAAGATTTTGTGTTTCGTATCTAAAGGATCCTTAAATATCCCTGAATACTGATGTTTGCTGCATGGTCGTGTACAGTTCTTGTACACAATAGAACCTGATTGGTCGTGTACAGTACTTGTACACAATAAAACATGGTGTGGAAAATATCGCATATTTTAGCTGATAATCGATCTCTGTAACTCTCTTATCTCTGTATAAGACACAGGATCGAAGCCTTGTGTAGTATACATATGTGTACTGTGATATTAAAGAAAACTTACAAATACAAAGCTAACCCAAAATATTAATTATTACATTTGGTAAAAATGCAGTTCATAGCGCGGTAATAATCTTTTTATCCCATTAAAAAAAAATAACAAAAAAGAGGCAACCGGCTTTAAAAATATTTAAAAATTTGCTTCGAATTAACTTCATTGTACTAAACAAATAAGCGATTTTTGTTTTGTCTAAGAAATATTTTGTCGCTTTGTTTGCAGCAATCCATTTTTTGATGCCCAAAATAAACGATGCATTGATTTCTAATTTTAAAGTGTATTATTTCTATTACTAGGGCGCGCTGTTGCTAAGGAGTTGGGCATGCCCTACTTCGAGACCAGTGTCCTTACCTTCTTTGGCATCAACGAGGTCTTCGAGAATGCCATCAGAGCAGCACTCATGGCGAGGTATCATTATTATTCCTGTAATCATTTAAAGGGACCGTTCTCAATTCATGTCGAAGAAAATTAATCTCTGTCCATTTCCTTCTTGGGTTTGCTGCATGAAAACATAAGTCACTATCGTATACCAACCAGTAACCACTATTGAGAAGGATCAACATTAGCGTGAAAAAAACAAGTTTAAAAAAAAAAAAAAATTTGTTAAGAAAACTTTTAAAGGGTAACTTTTATAATTGGGCATATAAACCTTATGAAAGGTCACTTAAATTGATTTGACAGCTCCTTTCATGTTTCAGAATTATCATTTCTGTTATTTTTGTTATGATAATTGTTTTTAAAGTCTGTTCACTATTATTGTTCTTTTATTTTTTATTGTCATTGCTTTCATGATTAAATGCTTTATTGTTGTGCCTTTAAAAAGTCTTGTGCTCATACTTAAATTGAATCATTATTTTCCTGCTAGGGTTTCCAATCGGAATTCCGTTGCGCGTAATTGCGCGCAACTGTGCGAAATTGTACGAGACAGTTGCGTGGAATTGTACGGTATTGTGCGTAATTGCGCGCAGTTTACAGGGCTCGCAATTGCGCGCAAGTGAAATCCACTTATTTTTATTTATTCTTAAACATTGATTCTAGTTTTTCCTTAGAATCACGTGGATAACATTTTTATCAGTATTACAGTGGGAACTAGAAAACGATGTAATTTTTGCCAGCTTCTTTTTATTTAAAAAAAAAAATTTGCTAAAGATTTTTTCTTGCAATGGAACTATTTAAAAATGTTTCTTGCACGTTTATATATAAACATATTACATATGTATATATATATATGCACATCAGTGAAAAAGCAACATTTTCTGAAAACATTCTATTCAATAACACAATGTTTCATGCTTTATGCAATCATCAGTATGATATAAATTTGTAGCAACCATTTTAAACTAATAAATATGAACACATTAAGGACAAAGAAAACATTTATTCCACAGTTTTCACAACTGTCCATAGATATTACATATAAGAAGAGAAAGGAAGAACCTGAAAACTAGGGAATATAAAGAATACATAAAAGCAATAACTTATTGTGTTTGATGTTGTTACAAAGCAAACAGTTTTTTTAGTAACTTCTTAAAAATTTGTTGTGTTTCAAGTTCATTGGTCTAATTAAAGTCATAAGTTGAGTCTGAAAGTCGTTTTTCTTTTCCAGAGTTTTCTGGTTCTCACTGCATTTATTTATCCTTATTTCAGACGCACACAACGATTCTGGATGACCAATTTGAAGAGAGTAATGAGTCCAGCTTTACAGGTAGAGGTAGAGGTAGAGGTAGAGGTAGAGGTAGATATAGAGGTAGAGGTAGAGGTAGAGGTAGAGGTAAAGGTAAAGGTAAAGGTAGAGGCAGAGGCAGAGGTAGATGTAGATGTAGAGGTAGAGGTAGAGGTAGAGGTAGAGGTAGAGGTAGAGGTAGAGGTAGAGGTAGAGGTAGAGGTAGAGGTAGAGGTAGAGGTAGAGGTAGAGAGAGGTAGAGGTAGAGGTACAGGTACAGGTATAGGTACAGGTATAGGTACAGGTTCATGTACAAACCTATTTACGTGAACTAAATTACATGCATAACACACACACATTTATGCAAATCTCTTAAAAATACATTATTTATTTTTTCTTGAAGACGATACGAATGTTTTGATTTTTAGGAACCTTTTTGTCCTCCTAAACCTGCTCTTCCTGGTGTAGTCATTCATCATTCAACATTTCCCCAGGACCTTCTTCATCTATTCCAGGTATAATCCCTTAAATGAATGAATAAATGAATGAATAAATGAATAATTTTATGAATGAATAAATGAATGAATAAATGAATGATTAAAAGGATGAATAAATGAATGAATAAATGAATGATTAAATGAATGAATATCTAGTATCCCGTCTGTTCTACCGATTGCTACACCTGGATTTAAGTTCTGATCTTGTGACCAGAAGTTCTAGTGAAACCAGCCTGGTTAGTGTTAAATACAAAACTCAAATTATACATTAAAATATGACAATAACAATGACAGAACTCAAATTATACATTAAAAAAAATCTTTGACCCACCAAATTCAAATATGCAAGAACATTTGCAAAGACCATTTAAAACTCAATTCTACAAGATAAGTGCTTTCTGAAGGGATTATAATTTAAAAAATTCCGACCTTAGAACCTAGCAAAGGCAATACCTATATCTTCATTGGAATTTATCAACATTTGAAGCGAAGTTGAGTGGTTCTTAGAATATTAATTCTTACAACAGATTTCTAATTTAAATCTCTACAAATATATATTTGGCTTGTGTGGGTGTTTGTTTGTTTTTATCGAATAATTATTTTTTGAAAAATGCAAAATTTTTTTGTTGTAAGACGACAACCTAAAATCCTAAAGTAATATAAAACAATAAAAAATACCACTGCAACTAACTCCCCGCACCTATAGTAAAGAAAACATGAATGAAATCGTTGAAAGTTAAGGTGGTTTAGAATTACAGGATTATTGAATAATTTAAAAATAAAATCTATATTTAGAGAAACAGATACTTTGTTTTTAAATTTGATACTGAGGGTGGGAGTGCGTTGGAATAAAATAAGAACATAGATTTTATAAATAATTTAAACATTATGAAAATATTATGAAATTGATATATCATCTATTCTCCCCCCCCCTTCCCCTTCCACATTCCCGTTCCCCTTCCACCCTTCCCCCATTTCCCCCTCCCCCCTTCTCCTTTCCCCGTTTCCCCCTTTCCCCCTTTCCTTTTCCCTTCCTCCGCCACCTTCCTTTATTATTTCTAAGTTTATTCTATTTTTAGCAAAGTTGGACAAACTTTTCTTTTTATTACACTCGTTAAACTAAAAACCTGGATCTTTCAAACTTTTTCCATTTTCTTCTTTCAGCCGGATCTTAATAAATGAGTAGGTTTATAGTTATGAATTGTTAAAGGGATAGTCAACGTTATTTAAAGTGACCTCTCAATTAAAGAAATGTATATGCCCGAATGACAACCGGTAAACTTTACAATTGCATCTTCATCGAACCAATTTTTCGAATCTCCTTTCCCAATAAATAAATAAATCACAAATCGGCAACTAGCAATTTTAGCATGGACAAATTTTTTAAATAGCTCAGACGAAGATGTGAAGGGTATTGTTGTGAATCGGGTATGCCAATCCTCGATATTACGTGGACAGTCCCTTTAATTAAATTTAAAGTTGTCATCTCTTTGCTTCTGTCTGTTTGGATGTCCTATCACATCTTTTGAACCCTTAGACCAATTTGCCTCAAATGTTGATTGGGAACCTCGGTGGAACCACGGGATTATTCTTAGTTCGGTTTAAAAGTTGAATTAGTCGACTTTTTTAAGGAAACCTTAGTTTCCAGGCAGAGTTGGGTAACCACACTAATATATATATGAAATGATAATGAACCGCTCTGATTAATTGCAATATATATATATATGTATATATTAAGGTGAGTAGCACCTATGGTTCAAGTACTCTACTGCCTGATTTCTACGATGATACAGATTGTTTGATCAAATCAGAAACCTCAACACCATGCCACAGGTTACAGGGAGAACTAGAAAACTATGGAATAGGAACTCGACTTTAAGCCTCAAGATATTACTTTAGATAGTTTAATGAACATGAGGCACAGCAATTGTGCTGTGCAGTCACATTTATCGCTTTAGTAACGTACGTTAAAGCTAGATTTATGACAACATCAGTTGTACTTTAATGTCGTCTTCCTATTCTACAGTATTCTGGTTATCACTGTACTTTTCTATTTTATATATAATTTTTAAAATTTGCAATTCAAATTATATCTTACATATTTTTTCTCTTAAAAACATTTAATTCCAAGAAGAAAGGGATCATGAAAACATTTAACTGTAATTGAACTGAACCCTTGGTCACAGAAACGAATAGAGTTAAAGGGATCGTATGCATAATTGCAAGTGATGCTTCAAGAGCTGGGAATGAACGATTTACAACGGTACTCTTAAACCTTTGAAAAATCATCAAGGCATGATAACTCGGTTTGTTTATCACTATAATGGTGTTGAACTAACGGGATATTAGAGTGTACGCTGGTGGACAGCGTCAACTTAAAACAGCTGACTGATATTCCTCGGAAATCCAAAAATATGGAAAATGCAATTTTCAAAATTTCATTTGTAATTTTTTTAAATGCGGCACCGTTCGTATCAAATGAATCCTAAACTTGTTCTCTATAAAACTGCAGTTTCAGTTCAACTACATTACCTAACCAGTCTCTCCTTTTAATTGATGAAAGGAAATATCAAATAACTTAATATCTTATATATAAAGCTTTCAAACAAAGAACTAATTATATCATAGTTGAACAGTCAAAGGATGTTAATTGGACACACCACTGTATACATACTTGAAATTACGCCTGTACAGTCCCTTTAAGAAAAAGTTGTTTTCCCAATATATCCAATGTACCCCAGTCCCCGGGGGGTTGAACAGCAGCAAGCTAAATATCTTATTGTTTAGTATAAGATCCAGTGTACCCCGGGGGGTTGAACAGCAGCAAGCTAAATATCTTCACCCAAAATACTTTCCAAGGCGATCGTCTTTCAGTGGTGAGTACATACAGAGTGTAATGAAACCTAACTTGAGACAAAGTATCTAATGAAACCTAACTTGACACAGAGTATGGTAATGAAACCCAGTATCGGAAACCCGGGTTCAAGAAGAATGAGAAATATTATTTTATGTGGTTTCTTTAAACATTCTCTTTTTGTTTTCTGATTTCATAAATTAAAATCTACGCAAATCTACCCCAAAAAGAAAACTAGAAAGTTTCGATCAAAGCTACTTTCTTAAACACTGTGGAGTCCTTTGTGGGTAACCCTGATAAAATGTTTAGGTTTGTCCAAAGAGGATTTATCTCCACGATGTGGAGTATCCAAACAATTAAACCATCCAACCTTCTCCAGTCTTCAGATTCAACAGTGTGATACATTAAACCAGGATGGGAAGGTAGGGTATATTCTTTACAGTGTGATACATTAAACCAGGATGGGAAGGTAGGTATATTCTTTACAGTGAGATACATAAACCAGGATAAGAAGGTAGTGCATATGCTTTACAGTGTGATACATTAAGCCAGGATGGGAAGGCAGCGTATATTCTTTACAGTGTGTTACATAAACCAAGATGGGAATGTGCAAAGAAAAGTATAGATTAAATGAATAATTAAAATTTGCACGAAATTTTTATCCCTCCTGGAAATTTCATAGACATATTATTCTATTTTAGGGCATAGACCTGAAAAGTAATGTTTTCTTTTTGATTTTTGAAAAAAAATATCACATAATTCCCCAATTTCTGAGGGGGAGATTTTACCCCTAAATCGAAAGTCGTGTTCATTGTATTGATATATACGCTGAAGACTGTATATATATATGTTTAGGTGGTTAGCTCAGTACAGACTGTAATCACCTGCACTAAACTGGTCACTCCACAGATTATGAATCAGATTCTCAGGTCATTTAGTTTAATACTTTAGTTAAATAGGTTTAATAAAGTTAATTATTTATTGAGGTAATTACAGTCATGACCAGAAAGACCCGGAATTAATTGACAATTTTTAAGACGACTTTACAATCTTTGCAATAGTTCACGGCATTCATGGGTCAATCTATTTTTACAAATATACAAATATGATTGATGAAACAATAATCACAAAAAGTCCTAGTACTGCCATTTCCAAAATGTGGTCTGACTTTTGTTTGATTTCATTCCAATTGAGAACATTTTCGTTTTTATCAAATAAAAATGAAATCTAACCAAAACTCCTTATATCTTGGGTAATTTTGAACGCAAATGACTGTATTAAATTAGTTAAATAGTTATAGGTTACCTAATTTTTCAGTCAACTCGTTAATTAGATAAATAGTTAATTAGTTATATAATTAATTAGTTAAATAGTTAATTAAATATCAAGTTAATTAGTTAGGTAGTTAATTGGCCAGTTAGTTAATTAATTAGAGAGTTAGATGATTGGTTAGTTAGTTAACTAGGTAATTAGTTAGTAGGTTAGTTAATTGGTTAGTTAGTTTATTAGTTAATTATATGGTTAGATAATTGGTTAGTTAGTTATTTAGTTAATTATTTAGTTAGTTTATTAGTTAATAGGATAATTAGTAACTAGTTAATTATTTAGTCAGTTATTTATTTAATTATTTAGTTAGTTAATTAGTTAATTAGTTAAATAGTTTTTTCAATTAGTTAGTTGATGACTAAGTTATTTAGTTAATTTTCATTAGTTAATTTGTTCATTGGTTAATTCGTTGATTAGCTGATTTAGTAATCTTTAACTAACTAATCATCTTGCATTATTTATAGAGGATGAAAGTTCAAACAGAAATAATCCCATTAGATGAAATTTTTAGCTAAAATAATTACCTGGAACTTGAAGTTGAGAGAGAAACATTTTTTTCTCTTCCAACGAAACCTTTAAAAGGCTGGAAAATATTCCTCGTACAATATTTATTATTCAACTTTTTAAATATAGATTAACTAGGCTTTTAGGGCGCTTCGCGCCCATCTTCTATTTAAATTGTGAACATGTTCTTTTTGTTTACATTTAACACAAAGAAGAAAAAAATGTTGTGGATTTAAAAAAAAATATTCGCGGATTTTCAAGAATTTAAATTTTTTCACAACATTAAAAACCTTTGAAACACATTTTTTTAAAATTTTTATCATTCATAAACCTTCCCTGTGATCACGTGATGTCCCACAAAAAATTTGGGCCCGATCGGTTTAGCCGTTTTGACGTTTATTGGATACAAACAAACAGACAGACACCCAGACAGACGAGCCAAATTTATATATAGATGTAAGCTTTTTGTTCGTCATATCTTATCTTTATTTTTATTATCGATTGTTTAAGATTACAATCTGAATGTTTAGGTTTCTGTATACTGGCGAACTTGAGACTTCACATGTTAATATTGGTGTAATGCGCCAGGTACAGTTTTATGTACATTCTTGCGGTTGTTTTATGTACACTTTTGTACTAAGACGTTACGTACATTCTTGTACTAAGATATGGCAGATTTCTGAACTGCACTCGTCTAATGCCATCTTGAAATATTTTGAAAACGTTTGAATGTTTTTATTTTCATTTTGCTAGCTGACGAATTGATAAAATTGTCATTGATTTGCTTACTAACTAATTGACTAGTTGATTTAAATTTATTTCAAATAGACAGATCTGCACTTCTGCAGGTTATAAGGTCTCGCGATGAGAATTACTTCTTAAAAAATAAGGATAAAAACAATTGTTTATATAGTTCTAAAATAAGTAAAAGTGAGTAAATTGTAATATTTTCCTAGTCTTAAAAATTGATGCAGCTCTTATAGCTGTCTGGATCTCTGTGAATATACTGATTGATTGATTTTTTGTTAAGATATCTGAGTATATGGAACTAGTAGACTTGACTCAGTACCTCACAAATATAATTAACAAAGATGATTTTCTAAATGATGATCTCACGACCAAAGTACTCCAGGTATTTCTTTCTTAACTGACCTTCATGCTCAATTCACAAAGATAACCTTTCAACCTTTGCCTGATCAAGAATAATGGAGAAATCCTTTTTTTTCTGGCTGAAAATTGAGTACCGGGAAAATACAGTAAACAGTGTTCGCTCCATGTCAGACTAATTTTAGTGATGATGATTATATAAGGTTTAAAGGGTACCATTGGGAATTGGGAATGCCAATCTTCTGATGGAGGATATAAAAACACTTTTAGGAAATATAAAACATTTTTTAATTCTGGACCGATTTTTGAAATTTAAGTTCGGTTAAAATCTTGAACCTGCACCGATTTAAAGTAAAGATAATAATCCATGAGGTTTTGGTTATTCAGAATTTGAACCGGCGTGATTGGTAGTTTAGCAACCGCTCAAAGCAATCACACGTGGTCCTTGTTTAGAGCATAGGAGAGCAGCTTGGAGAAATAGGATTAGAGCAAGGTAGCTTCTCTGATGTTCTTTTTAAACTAGAAGATGGAACTCAAGCAGCACACAAACCCTTACTTATGTCCAGGTAAAACAGTTTTAGATTTTTAAACAAAATTTTATGTTCTATTTTAGCCGAACCGAATACGATCCAAAAATGATTTTTCGGATTGTGTTTTCCATGTATTTTCTTTAGGGATAAAACTTACATAGTTTTATGAAAGCAAACCTTTACAGAATATAATTTTGAAACGTTGGAACCTGGAACCTTCATAAGCTCACAGTATTTGTGAGATGCATTTTAAAGTCCATAATCGAACCAAGTTATTCGCCATCACTATTCGTCATCACTATTCGCCATCACTATTCGCCATCACTATTCGCCATCACTATTCGCCATCACTACTCGTCATCACTATTTGCCATCACTATTCGCCATCACTATTCGCCATCACTATTCGCCATCACTACTCGTAATCACTATTCGTCATCACTATTCGTCATCACTATTCGTCATCACTATTCGTCATCACTATTCGCCATCACTATTCGCCATCACTATTCGCCATCACTATTCGCCATCACTATTCGCCAATTCTAAAACTTTATTTTAGGTGTGATATGATGCAAGCTATGTTTACGGATGATTTTATTGAAAGCTCTGCAAAAGTTGTAAAATTTCCCGGTGTTACCAGGTATTTATATTATACAATTAAAAAAAAAACACTTTTACTTATATTTTTGTTGACTATTTTTCTCATATTATTTGTTTCTAGATTTGCGTTTAAAGAGTTGTTATACTACCTGTACACTGACCGTTCTCCACGGGTCTCACCATCCAACTGTCTCGGTGTGATGGAACTAGCAAACAGGTTTCTGTGTTTTCATTATGAAATCTATTCCACGGAATTTTAACACTTTTCAGTTTCCGCGTTTTTAATTATTTATTCAAAAATGCTATGGCTGATTTACAATTTGCTGGAAAAAATTTGAATATTTGTTTTAAACTCTCATTTTTTAACCTTTATATCTTTGTAACCTTTATATTCCAGCTTAGAACATGTGATATAACAGAATTTATAATTCGTAGTATGAAAGGTCTACGACGTCAGGTTCCAAAGATTCAGGGATTAAGTTGTCATCTTATAAAATGATCCACATTGCTAATGCAATTGGGGGTTCTTGAGTCTAAATGAAAAGTTGCTATCCGCTATTCTCGTAACAAGGTCTGTAAGGGGGGGGGGGGGTTAAATTAATTATTGCGCATAGTCATTTTCATCCCAACTCCTCCTTTTAGAATGGGGGGAATTTGTTTGTATGAAAAATCTTCATTGTTGGTGAATCAGTGGCGACGCAGAATTTTTTCTAATCTATTCTTGAATATCATAATTATAGGACTAAAAGGAGCCTGCTCTCTCTTATTTCGCCCCAAATTATTCCAAGGGGGGGGGGGTGATCCCTCCTGTACCCCCTTCAGCCACCTCTGTCTCCTAATAATCTCGTTTTACACTTTTAAGAAACAGTCCCTTTAATAAATATGTGTATAGGCTGGTGTTGCCCCGGTTGATGAACCTGCTGGAGAGAAGAGTGATCAGTGAGATGGAGATGATGTACGACCAAGGAGAAGATGTTTGTGAAGATGCTCTCCGTATCCTAGAACCATGTCAGATTCACAATGCAGATCAGCTGTTGGAATGGTGTCTTTCCTTCTTAGCTCAAAACTACAACAGTATATGCAGAAAGTAAGGGACTAGACATGAATTTTAAGAATAATCTCTAAATTTAAAGAAAGAGGAGAGACAAAGGCAGGGTAATTACCAGGCACTGTCTTTTCTGATCTTTTATTCTATTTAAACCCATTTTACTTCTAAAGTTAATTTTCAGCCACTGGTAATTAAACTTTGTAAAAAACAATTGAAGATTATCTAAATGTCGTCTTCCTATTCCAAATTTTTATGGGTCTCACTCGAAGCATATAAATCAGTTGTCTTCTATGAACTATTTTTGTTTAAAGATTTTTGATTAATGGAAGTGAATAAATAAGATTGATGTAGGACCAGGCAGACATTTAAATATTGAAAGATAAAAAGATTTAAAAATCATTTCTTTTCCAGGTTCCCGAAGGTCCTCCGAAGCCTCCACCCTGAGAACCAGGCAAACCTCAACGTCAACCGTTGGCCTCCGATTTGGTAAGTTCGAAACTTATGAAAGTACAAAAAGAACTATGAACTCGCTTCAAACTAAAATTTTTAAAACCTGATGTCTTTTAAACCACTCTTAAAGGTTTACACCATCAGGTTTTTTAATATAGGGATAAAAAATCCATTCAGTCGTCGTTGTATATATCAATACAATGAATACGATTTTCAATTTTGATTTTAGCCAAAAAATTTTAACAGCATGAATACACATAAACATGGAAACAAAGAGAAGCTTTCTCTTTGTTTGCTTCTAAATTTGCAATTTGAAAAAAAGCTGGTTGTAAATCAAAACTGAAATAGAGAAAAGTCGTTATCATTGTATTGATATAAACACCGACCACTGTTACAGCTTGAGACTAGTAGTACTTTCCTTCTTAATTTAATAAACAGTATACAAATTAAAAAGTTTTACATGGTAAATAAAAAGAAATCCAAAATGGTGCTTTAAATTAAATCCATTTTTTGTAAAATTTAGGTATCTCAAAGATTACGACCTGTACCAGCGAATGAAAATGGAGCGTGAAAGACTTGAAAGGCCGAAAGCTCTAAAAAGACCAAGGTATCGGAGGTTTTTGAACAACAAGTAAGATTTTAAAAACCCAGCTAATTTGTGAACACATATGTTCAGTTTCTTAAATAAAAAATGAATAACCCATTGATTTAATCTATAGCTATGGAAGGTAACACAAATTTAATTGTTTTAATTGGGTCCACAACCTAAAATTTTAAAACTTTTCTGTATAGATATGATATTTATAATATAATTTTTCAATTAATTTATGTTTAGCATTAGATTTTGATTTATGAATTGAGAGAGTTAGTTTAACCTATTTCGGTTTAGATTAACTAGGAAGACGACCTTTAGACTCAAGTTATGACTTTAAATTAATTAGTCCAATGGACATGAGACACAGCAGTTGTGGAGTGTAAACAAACCCAATTCACTTAATTAGTGATTAAACAAGTATCTATAGTAAAACTATTTGCTTTGCAACAATATCAAATACACTTGAGCATTTATATAATGTCGTCTTCCTGTAACTGTAGTTAAACCATCCAAACTTGGTCAAACTAACCTGCCTCTCTTCATAACTTCAAAACTTTGTTAATAATTTTTGCTCAAAATATATTTCCTAAAGATATAATATTTTAGGAACAACTCTGGATGTTTGTGTTTCTCGAGCAAGTCCAGGCGAGACTAATTTTGCAGTTTTTGTCCAAAAAATATTTCTTAGTTTTCTAATATGTTTTATGCATAATCTGATGTCACAAAATCCTATATTTTTATTATTTTTTTCTTCAAAACTAGAAGAGGACATTAAAGATTGTATTTAGTTATTTTATGCTGTATTGTGAATGTTGTGTCAATTTGTAATTTTCAATTCTGATTCTTAACATTTAAAATCTAATCATCTAAATATTAAGTATCTCTAAATATTGATTATCTCTAGAATTGTATATTGTAACTTTAGAGTAATTTGACTATTTTTCAAAAAAACAAATAAGTTTTTTTTAAACTTCTGATTTTATTACAAGACAATATTTTTATTAAAAACCAATGCTAACATTGTGAATTCAGCAAATTATGTGATTTTACTGCATTTTGGGTCGATCTTACAATTTTAATTTTAAAACTAAATTTGTATTTGACAGAGGTAGAGAGAGACCAAACCAAAGTCAAAAGGCTCAAAAAACCTGTATTATTAAAATTGAACCAAATTGAGCGAATTGATCAACTTTTTTAATTTTTGTCTCGTAATCTTCCAAAAATGATTTTTTAAAATATTTCCTTGAAAGTTTAAGAATGTCTTTGTAAGTTTTTGTTTCGTGAATAAATGTAACCTTGTCGTGATTCCAGATAGTTGCTGTACTGTACTGTACTGTACTTTACTGTACAGTACTGTAGTGTACTGATAAGACGTTATTAGTGTACGTATGTAAAACAGTGCAACTGTACTGCACTGTTGTTACCCAGTAATTTTTAAATGTAAACCTAACAAGTGTATTTTGATCAAGAACAAAATAAAATAATTTATAACTCTGAAATAAAAAAAAATTATTTAATTATTATTTTATTATTCCTTGGACGGATTGAGGGGAGGAAGGCCAGCTACAACAATTTCTCGCCCTAGCCTCCTTCTTATTTTCTCGTCCGAGCCACCTTGAAATTGTCGTCTTTCGATTATTATGTATTCGAAAGTTTCCAACTCTTAAAATTCTAAATTCTTAAAATTTGGCCACGATAGGGCATACCATATGGATGCATGTACCAGACATATGGATACATGTACCAGACATATGGATACATGTACCAGACATATGGATACATGTACCAGATATATGGATGCATGTACCAGATATATAAAAATGCGCGTTGAAAACTTTAATGCAATTGAAACTATTTTTTTTCGATTTTCCAAAAATTCAATACTTTTTATTTATGCCCTGGCGTGTCCAGACTAAAGCAATTGTTTTATCTTCGAAGATTAGATACTGGAAGAAAACAATATTGGAAGGGCGAGGATTTCCTCCCCGAGCAAATTAAGCTGTTTTATTTCAAATGACAAAGTGACTCATTGTATAAAGTTGTGAAAGACAACTTTTTATACTGCAATTACGTACAGGGTGTCCAGGGTACAGGGTGTACAGGGCACAGGGTGTCCAGGGTACAGGGTGTACAGGGTACAGGGTGTCCAGGGCACAGGGTGTACAGGGCACAGGGTGTCCAGGGTACAGGGTGTACAGGGTACAGGGTGTACAGGGTACAGGGTGTCCTAATAATACTGTGTACAGGGTGTCCTAATAATACTGTGTACAGGGTGTCCTAATAAACATGGAAATTCAGTGTTATTAATTAGCATTGTAATACCTAATTTCAACAGCCATAATATTATTATGTCTGCTAGAGTTTATTTATGAAAAGGGTAAAAGACTGTAAAGATGTGTCTATTATGTCTCCGCAAGATGAACTGTAAAGATGGATAAGTTTACTCTGTTAGTATACTGCAATTTTCTTGTTTTACTAAGTACAACCGTATGCAGTCAAAACATAAACAAACAAAATGTGAACATAGCAGACAAAACTCTTACAAATTACAGCTTTCTCAGTAGGTATCACCATACTAAATCAAAGAATTATCTAAAAAGATGATATTGAATTCGTCACTGAATTCCCATGTTTATTGGGACAC